ACTATTTTTTGTCAGTTTTGACCATTTAGTCAATTAAATCTTCAAGTTAATCAATTAAAGAGGAGCAGATAAGTAGATAATTTCGAATAACGGACAAAATAATTATTAATTAATTAATGAAAAGTAAAAGCATCAAAAAGCCACTACAATAGTACAATGTGACTCGATGGTAATAAGCACACAATAATGTGCATTCTTTTTTAGCAATATTTTTTGTGTGTCAATCTACAACATTTATTCTTTTTTATGATTTAAAAAATAAAATAAAAAGAGCGTCGCAATTTTTTTTGGTGGGGCTGGAAGGCTGACTTCTTTTCTAGCCATATTTAGCCAACCCATTATATAATTACTTTTATAATAGTCTTTAATATCTAATTTTTTTCAATATTAAAATAACATTGTTTTGATGAATATTAAATAAAATTATTTTAAAAAATATTAATTTTTTTCATGTATATATATATATATATATATATATATATATATATATATATATATATATATATATATATTAAGTATTGAAATAATTCAAATATATTTAAAATTCTTCTTTATTTCTTTACATAGACTTATTAATTTTAAATACACTAACATGTTTAGGTTTTAATTTTCAAAATATATAACAAATTTAAAATAATTATATGAATATTATAAAATAACACTATAATTTTTTTATGAAATAGTAATAATATATTCCATAAAATAAGACTCGTTACACTTGAACTTTTTTAAAATATGAAACCTGACTTATTTAATTAAATAAACTTCTTTGAAAGTGTTTATTTAACTTGTTTATTAGCAAGTTAGGCCGTAAATCATGGATCACTTTAATTTATTCTCACTTTTAACATTAATATATTATGCTAAATGGAAATGAAAACAATAGAATAATAGTTAAAACAAAATGTGGTGAAAGAGAAACAGTATATGAGATTAGTGTTTATCTATGTAGCACCGATATAGACATGTGACACGCGACACGACACGACACGACATGACACGACACTCCGACACGTTAATTCTAAAAAATGTTAGATTTCGACACGTTAAGACCCGTTTTGATATTAAATAATATTTTTAATTTATGTAGTGTATATTCATCAATTTATGTAGTGTATTTTTAATATTATATTTGATATTCAATAATTTAACAAAAAAATAAAACTAAACTTATAATATTCATCAATTTTCCAAAGAAACATAAGATATCCTAAATATTTATATTAAACTCAATAAAATGATAATCGTAATCCAACGAATCTACCGGTTGAAACTAAAAATTCAACGTAACACAATCTTTGAATCTTCTTTTGAATTTCTATAACGCGTGTTAGAGTGTCGGGAAGTGTCGGTGTGTCAGAGAGTGTCGAGAAGTGTCGGACACGACACATAATGGTTTTTGAAGTGTCGGTGCTTCATAGGTGTTTATCATGTTGTAGGAGATAATTTTATTTGTTACATACTCATAAAATGTGTGGAGTCCATGTGATATTTTCTCTCTTTTCTCTTCGCATGGCCGTACATGGCTCTCACATATTTTTATGTGTGTAGGAAATAAAATTATCTCCTATAACATAAGAAACATTAATTTCAATATTAAAATAGTGTTATACTAAAAAGAGATAGACCTTATTTTAGTTGTTTTATAGTGTGTAATACATTAAGGGTTTTACTACTCTTCTGTTACCGTAAATAATTGTCTTATGCTATACATACATAGAGGAATGTGCAATCTTTTTTTTTTCAAAAAACAATGGGACCCATACTTGAATTTGACTGTGCAGGAAATCCAAGTTCTCACAAGCAAAATGAGAAAAATAAATTCCATACATACATTAAATTGATATGTTCATTGTCAAAACACAAAAGACACAATTGATGCTCATGTTATTGGACCCTTGGTCTTCTTTTTTGAGTTGAATAGAAGACTTCCTGAGTTCCTTCTTCCTGTTTACTCATTATGACCATATTGCTGGACACTTGATCATGTATACAGCATATAAGTGATGCCCACTGTATTATAGGATAAATTCTCCAAGTTAGGGGCATTTGGGAATAATACAATGAGTTCATGTATATTAGCTGGGCATAGGCTAGGATTTAGGTGGCAAAACAAATATATAATCTACATGTTGAAATCCAAATTGACTTCAACCTGTTTATATTATTATGGTGTGAGAAAAAAACACACACGTTATACATTTTCTTTTTATTTTCTTTTTCTTGCTCCTTTCCTTTTGAAGTTTGCTTTAGGAACTTGATAAGTTCAAGTGATTCACAAGACCACACACACTTGATGACCATATTATTATTGGACCTTGGTCTTCTCCTCCGAGTTGAATCAAAGACTTTCTTCCTCCTATTTGCTGTATACAGTGTATAAGTGATGCCCACAGTACAGGGTAAAATATCCAAGCTAGTCAGGGATATATATTGTAATATACAATAAGTTCACGTTAATTAGCTGGATATAAGCAAGGAGTTAGGTGGTAAAGCAAATATAAAATCCACATGTGGGATTATTAAATGTTTTTCTAAAGTCCAAAATGACTTCAACCTTTTTATATTATTATGATGTGAGAAAAAAACGCACGTTATACATTGTATTTTGTTTTATTTTCCCTTTTGTTTTGCTGTTTACCTTCGTAACTTGATAAGTTCTAATGATTCACACGACAGCTTCTCTAACCGTTCAGTTCAAAACAACCATTTGTCCATTCCATCTTTTTAATAAAACGTCCCCATCCATTTGATTTTTTTATGCTTTCAAAGATAAGCAACTTCAAGTTGCACATATAAGATCTTATAACAAGACAAATGTCATACTTTTATACATATACTAAGCATAAAACAAAGTTCTGGCGTTTTCATCATAGTATAGCATGCGTTCATAATTTGTTTCGTGTATATATATATGATCTGACCCTATATATTTAGATTATCAAATGCGTTCTAAAGTCCAAACTGACTTCAACCTATGTATGTCATTATGATATGAGGGGGGGAAACAGACGTAACGCATAGTCTTTTTTTTTTTTCCTTTTTTTTTCTTGCTTTCCTATTGGAGTTTAGTTGGGTAACGTGATAACTTCAAGTGATAAGTCAGCTTCTTTACCCGTGCAATTTGAAACAACCACTTGTCCATTCCATCTCTTTCAAAAAATGTCCCCTACCTTTTATTTTTTATGCACTGAAAGATAAGCAAAGATCAAGTTGCACATAGAATATCTCATAATAATTAACTAGACAAATATCATATTTTTAGGGTTCCCTTCTTCTTCTTCTGTAGTAACTGCAGATAACTTATCTGTAGTAAGCTCAATACGACGTCGTTTTGGGCTGAAAATATGGTGTGTTTGTAATTTTAATTTATTCCAGGGTTATTATAGTCTTTATAATTATAACTTTTTAATTTTTTAATCCCAAAACGACGTCGGTTTGAGAGTAAATATAGATAACTTATCTACAGCAACTGCAGAAATATTTTTCTGTATTTTTAATGGTACAATACAAGCAAACAAAACGTTGGCGTTTTAATCATTATATAGCATGAGTTCATAATTTGTTTTGGGCAAAAAAATTAAAATATTACTATTTTAATAAATAATTACGAATACATAACTGTTTCGAAATTATCTACGAATTTATTGCACTCATTCACGCACAAATTAGGCATGACTATTCACGTCCAAATTAGACGTGACTCTCAAGGCATTCACGCCTAATTTAGGCGTGAATCATCTGTTGTTGACACGTGGCAAAAAAAATTAATAGTTTAACCGTAAAACTTTATAAGGCCATAACTTTTGACTCGGGTATCCGAATGAGGTAATTCTTTTTTTAATTCCACATAAATTTTCGAGATCTACACAATGACATCTCATTTGATATATTTTATCTCTCACAAACACAATTCAAATTTGCAACAAAGAGATGGCACCAAAGTGGATTAACTCATCTATAAATAAGATGACACCAAATCTTCTATTAAGTACAAAACGCAATCAACTCCTATAACATTAAATTCGAATAATCTCCAGCAAATTTATTTGAATTGGCGACAATCTGTAACCAACTTATAAAATTACAACACAATCAGCTCCTAATAAATACAAAACACAATCAACTCCTATTAAATACAATATGCAATCAACTTATTGGAGGTTATTTGAATTTTGAATTTTGAATTTATTGTTATAGTACCATTGTTGGGCGTGAATGAGTGCAATATATTCGTAATTAGGTTCAAAACGACAACTTATTCGTAATTAATTATTAAAATATATACAAATTTATATAATATTCTACCAAGTGTTTAGAATATTTATTTAATTAATTTTTTATTAATACAGATTTTTCAAATTGATTTTTGAGTTTAAATCACAAATTAAATCTTTATTTTGTTTTTCTTATTAATAATAATTTTTTAATTTTTTTCGGTAATACACTATATAATACAATTATTGCAAATTTGAATTGTGTTTGTGAGAGATAAAATATATCAAATGAGATGTCATTGCATATATCTCGAAAAGTTATGTGGACTCAAAAAAAGAATTACCTCATTCGGATTTTTGAGTCAAAAGTTATGACTTTTCAAAGTTTTACGGTCCGTAAGTTGACCTTTTTTGCCACGTGTCAACACCAGATAATTCGCGCCTAAATTAGTCGTAAATGCTTTGGGAGTCACGCCTAATTTGGGCGTGAATAGTCATGTCTAATTTGAGCATGAATGAGTGCAATAGATTCGTAGATGATTTCAAAACAGTTATATATTCATAATTATTTATTAAAATAGTAATATTTTAAAATTTTTTTTTGCCATTCGTTTTGTGTAAAATGTTTCATATCTGTGTATCAGAGTCAAGCTAAACAAGAGGAAAGGCAATTGGTGTTAGTATTGGGCCTATTCATAATAGCTCAATTCTAGCTTACTGGCAAGCCCACATATTTAATCTTTCCCGAGATTAGGTTAAGTGAAAGCTCCAATTCCAACATCATCTTCTTTTTTTAAACTCAAAACCCTCTCTGAACCCTATCTTTGGATCCAAACCATGGCTCTCTCCAAAGCTACCTTCTTCATACACCTGAGAACCGTCGCCAACCATCGCCGACCACCATCTTTTGTATGCCTCCGCCTGCTCTCCTTCTCCTCCCCGGAGGAAGCCGCCGCGGAACGCCGCCGCCGCAAGCGCCAACTCCGCATCGAACCCCCTCTCTCCGCCCTGAACCGCACCCGGCAACAACCCAGACCCCAATCCCAATCCCCACCCTACCACCAGAACCCTAGCAACCCGAAACTCCCGGAACACGTGTCCGCCCTTACCGGTCACCGCCTCAACCTCCATAACCGCATCCTAACCCTCATCCGCGAAAACGACCTCGACGAGGCCGCACTCTACACGCGCCACTCCATCTACTCCAACTGCCGCCCCACCATCTTCACGATCAACGCCGTGCTCGCCGCTCTCCTCCGCCAGTCGAGGTACAACGACCTCCTCTCCCTCCACCGCTTCATCACCCAAGCCGGCGTCGTTCCCAATATCATCACTCACAACCTCGTCTTCCAGACCTACCTCGATTGCCGCAAACCCGACACTGCTCTCGAGAACTACAAGCAGTTCCTCAACGATGCCCCAATGAACCCTTCACCCACAACCTATCGCATTCTCATCAAGGGCTTGGTCGACAACAACAAGCTTGAGCGTGCCATGGATATCAAGGAGGAAATGGATTCCAGAGGGTTCGCCCCTGACCCTCTTGTTTATCACTATTTGATGTTGGGTCATGCTAGGAACTCTGATGCCGATTGTGTTTTAAGCCTCTATGAGGATTTGAAAACCAAACTTGGAGGGGTTGTGGATGATGGGGTTGTGTTTGGGAGCTTGATGAAGGGGTATTTCCTTAAGGGAATGGAGAATGAGGCTATGGATTGTTATGAGGAGGCTATGAATAAGAAGAAGATGAGTGCCGTTGGTTTTAATTCGGTGCTTGATGCACTTAGCAAGAATGGCAAGTTTGATGAGGCATTGAAGCTGTTTGATAGAATAATAAGGGAGCATAACCCTCCTACTAGGTTGGCTGTTAATTTGGGAAGCTTTAATGTGATTGTGGATGGGTATTGTGCTCAAGGAAGGTTTGATGAAGCAATTCAAGTTTTTAGGAGCATGGGTGAATATCGGTGCAGCCCCGATGTGTTGTCGTTTAATAATTTGATCGAGCACTTGTGTGATAATGGGATGATTGTGAAAGCTGAGGAGGTTTATGGAGAAATGGAGAGCAAGGGGGTGAACCCTGATGAGTTTACATATGGCTTGTTGATGGATACTTGTTTCAAAGAGAATAGGCCTGATGATGCAGCTGCGTATTTTAAAAAAATGGTGGATTCAGGGTTGAGGCCTAACTTGGCTGTTTACAATAGGCTGGTTGATGGCTTGATTAAAGTTGGGAAGATCGATGAGGCTAGGTCTTTCTTTGACCTTATGGTGAAGAAGCTCAAGATGGATGTTGCTAGCTATCAGTTCATGATGAAGGTGTTAAGTGAGGCTGGAAGGTTGGATGAGGTGCTTCAGATTGTTGATACTTTGTTGGATGATAATGGAGTTGATTTTGATGAGGAGTTCCAAGAGTTTGTTAAGGGGGAGTTGAGAAAAGAAGGAAGAGAAGAGGACTTGACCAAACTGATGGAGGAGAAGGAAAGGCTGAGTGCTGAAGCTAAGGCTAAGGAGGCTGAGGCTGCGGAAGCTGCCAAAAGAAGTGCAAGAGCTGCAGTAGCTTCTTTACTTCCATCCAAGTTGTTTGGGGATAAGGAAACGGATTCAGAATCTAAACCAGCGGGTAAGATTCAAGCTCTCAATGAAGAGGACTTGACCAAACTGACGGAGGAGAAGGAAAGGGCCGACAGGCTGACAGCTGAAGCTAAGGCTGGGGAGGCTGCGGTTGGGGAAGCTGCCAAAATAAGTGAAGAGCTGCAGTAGGTTCTACTTCCATCCAAGTTGTTCGGGAATAAGGAAAACGGATTCAGAGTCTAAAACAGAGGGTGAGATTCAAGCTCTCAATGAAGAGAGCACTGGTGCAACTAGTTCTGAGTCAGATTTGGCAGAGAAAACAACTGAAGCTTAAGGGTTTAGATGATGGAGAGGCTAAAAGTGATGAGCAACTGAGCAGGTAACAGCTTGAAGTTGCAACTTCATGGTGCTACATAAGTATAATAACTTTATGGTGCTTATATGAGGAAGTAGAATGTTAGTGTCAAAATAGTTTTGAATCATCACCATATGTTACCAACTTTTTGAATCATTCGACATGTAATTAAATTTGCTGGAAAAGATTATGTGATTTATGATTTGACCATTTTACAGTATCGTATTATTGGGGTATTGGTCTAAACCACCTTGAAACTTCCCATATTCCTCTCCCCTTTACATCAGCCATTGGAACTATTACATCTTTTATGTCTAATATGGAATACTCTCTCTCTGGAAATTATGATGGACTTTCTTAACTGCAAGTGTGGCAACATAGATATATTGGTGTAGACGGCAGATTGAAAGCTATAAAACACCGATACTCCGAATTTTTTTCCCAACGTATCCGATACGCGTATCGGAAACTGGTCGTATCGAGAACGTGTCGAAAATGCTGTTCGGTGCTTCATAGGTTGAAAGAATGATAAAACAACTTACGTACACAGCGAGGGGCTATGAACAGTATAGTGCTTCAAAACCGTACTTCTGTTCAGCTACTAATATTCTCACTCACACACTTCCAAACATCTGTTACAAACCAAATTACCAAAATTTCAAAACAAATCATACAATTTAATCTAATATGCGAAGTGACATATACACAAATGCATTGATTCGGGAACCAATGAACTATAACTCTATCGGAATTTTTGTACCTACAATTTGAATTTTGAAGTAATGCAATTGAATTGATGACAAGTGGCACCAAACTTAACTTCAGGGTTCAGACCAAGAAAGACGAATTCCAGTTCTGATCAAGCCAATTTTAAAGGAAGAAAAACTTGTTTATTACATAGCTTAAGAAAACTGAAAATTTCAGAGCCACCTTAGTACCTTTAATCTATTACAAGAAGCAAAAAGTTGGTGTAAATACAGGTGTCCCAAACACAGACGATGAAAATGCCCTTCAAATAACATGTCAGCTAGAGAGATTTGGTACGCACACACCAGCATCTGCATTCTGTTCCTTCCATATTCTTCCCGTAACTCTGAGTTTGAGCTCCTTCCTATCCCCACCAGAGAAAAAAAGGGCCATATTTCGTTGAATAATGAGACCGTCATGGCTATCCCTGACTTTACGGTGGCTATCCCTAATACTTCTTGGCGTCCCCTCCCAAATGAGCTTCCTGCCATTGGCCCCAACCTCTAGGCTATAGCTATAGTTCCGAGCCTCATTCTCATCACCCATAAAACGAAGGAATGCCATGTAAACAGGGGCCATGCCAAGCTGGAAAGCTTCAAAATGAAGGCAGAAATATTGGCCAAAACAATGAAATACCTACCAAAGAAAATATATGTTGGCAAATTAAACAATCAGAGGCAGCGAGGAGTATATACTGAGATAAGACTAAATGTAGCAGCTAGATGATGAATCAACATAAAATTGTCCTTTAGCCATCATTCTTTAACAGAAGAAAAATAAAATGTTTAACAAATCAGATGGGACGGGTACATGTTTGGGCCATGTAAAACAGAAATATAAGGGAGTGACAAAAATAATTTTCATGAGCATTTAAAAGCATTTCTCCATAGCATCAGTTCCCTTATCACTCCTCACAACTGCCCACCAATATAACTTTCTTTTTTTGGGGTAGATATCAATGTTTTCGAAGTTCTAATGAACCCGATTAATCCAGTATCGGGATTGAGCCTCTCCACCCTCCCAGGAATAGAGATTCTCACGAATTGAACCTACTATCTTTTTGGTAAGTCAAATTCTGGGATCTGATTGGGTCACCACTGGACCAACAACTCGTGTCCCACCAATATATAACTTTGATGAGAAAATAGGAGGGGGTAGTGAACATCAGAAATTCTATCCCCATGAACCACTCCCCCCACCCCCCAAACGGCAAATATATGACAAAGTGAACAATCTGACCCACCCCTGCAGCTCTGGGTTTCCAAAAATGAGATAAAATGATGTGATGATACACTTACCGTGAGCATCCAGGTTGCATTCTCAACTTCACGGGGATTTGACTTCACATAACGATGGTTGAATGTGCATCCGGTGTGCATGTCCACCTTATGATCGTCCCTCAAATGAGCAACAAGGAAGGGAATGTCCCCAACAACAGAACACTCTGATCCAGCATAAGGACAACTATATGGTCTAAAATTACATACTGTCTCATGCTTAAGCTTGCTATAGTACGGAAAGATTTCTGGACATCCAAGGTTGTAGTACTTGCAAGGTAACTCAAGTGATTCAGCCACCTTCTCCAGTGCCAGACACCTAATATCTCCAAGCTCCTGTCTACAAGTGGGACATCGGTTGTGCACCCTTGTTTTACATGTGGAACACAGTGTGTGGCCATTGTGACACTGCAAAGAAACTAATTGTTACATTTTCTCCCCATTTTTGGCATATATACACATTTTGCAGCTTCAATCATGACAAGATCAACTTTTGCACAACTCAATTGAAGAAATTAACACGAACTGCAGAATCAAAGATTAGATAAAGTATTGAAGATCGGTAGTAATTTTGGCCTATAGCAACCCATAGATCCAATGCTTAAAAACTCACAAGCTTCACTTTGTGTGTGTGTGTAGTAATGTACACAATATTGGAGATAATATAAATGTTAGAGATATAATAAAGTTACGTGACTTCATCCAACGGAGAATAAGTTCATGACATGGTATTAAAGCTTTTATGACCAAGTCTAAAACTAAAACTGCAACAGAAATCTTTCCAATGCCAAATACAGACAACAAGGAAGACATTAAAATCTGACAACATAGCAAATTCCTCGACTTGACACCTTACTACCACGAATTGCAAGTATTGTCATAATTCCAAAATCATCATCGAGGAGCCACCAAATCCAATCAAAACCTCCAAAACCAAATCTAAGGTGTCCTTATACCCCAACCCCAAGAGAAAGCCAAGGAAAAAACACAAAATCTGCTAAAGCAAATCCACTCAATCCAAGGCAAATGAGAAGGAGATTGGTGAAAGAATTAACCTGATGAATTGGTGGGTACATTGAATTAGTACACACAGGGCATTCTAACAACTCATGAACGCTGGTTGCTGGAGTAATGGCGGTGGGGCCCATATTATTATTGTTATTTGTGCCTCCATTGCGAGGTTTTGTGGAAGAAAACTCAGAGTGATGGTGAGGGTGGATCTCATCCTCATCCATGCCATCCAAGGATGACACACACTCAATGCTGTCCAAGTCCATCAACTCACCAAAACCTTCCACTGGTTAAGGAAAAAAAGAAAAAGAAAAAAGAGAAACACCCAGTTATCAAAATCGGAAATTTCGCCAAATTAATTACCTGGGTATTCCCCTTTTTTAATCTTCTTCCTTCAGTTCTCTTTGTTCTTCTTTCCCCCTTTTTTTCTTTCTTTTGCTTTCCAGGAAAAAGAAGAGGTGAAAGAGAATAGGTGAAGGAAGATGGGGATGGACAAGAATCGATAAATGGATGAATGGGAGGGTTCCGAAAAACCAAACTCCGTTCTGGGCAAGAACAGGTTCTTTTCTTCGTCTCTCTCTCTCTCTCTCTCTATGGTTGTGTCATGCTGTGAAGAGAGAGAAGGAAAGGAGGACCGTTAAATTTCAGAAATTAGATAGATCCAACGGTAAATAAATTTCATCTAATCTGTTTACCAAAAAAACAAAAAACAAATTCTTCTAATTTTTATTATTTGTTTGTTCTTTTTTTGTTTGGTAGTTTGTTTCTTTTAAGTTAGGGGAACAATTTCTTATGTTAAAAAAAGACAATGTTGTTTCTCTTACACTAATAAAAAGTTGTCCTATAAGCTTTTTTTTTAGTGAGACCCATATAAATATGAGATAATTTACTTCCCTTATAATATGAGATTAATAACACTTTTTAAATTAAATCAAAACTCATAATTACAGTACTTTTTTAACCCAAAAAAATATACTCACTCCCGTATATAGTGTTGTTATGGACCCGACAAAGGTCCACATTCTAGAAGGCCTAAATATGACTAATGGTTAAGAGAAAATTAAGGAAATATTCTTTAATTATACTAATCCTACCACGGCAGCAATAGATCAACAATTGGACCTCAAATACTCCTGAGAGGCCCAAAAGTCCACTTTTGTCAGGTAACCCATATATAAATAAGGGATTAAACCAATAAGGTACACACTCTAAGCCCTCCCTTAGCTTGTCACTGTGCACACACCCCACGTCTTGGCTATGTCGTTATATTATAGTGCACAATGATCCGCTTATCTTTAGGATACCTCTCCTATAAATACCTGAAAGAGGACAAACAAATCCAATATTAAATTACACCTATTCATAGTTCCTCTAATATTTATTCTGAATTCATACTTTTTTAGTGAATCCCTAATTCATATTAAGACACAATGGAAGAATTGAATTGGTCCACCCACTTAACCTTTTACCTCACCCTGTTTTTTTTTTTTCTTAAAAAAAAGCATAACAACAATAATACACAAGGTACAATAGTACAATATTATTAGCCCTTTTCATTGTAAAAATCAAGGGAAATATTACTCTCCTTTTGCATAAGATTACTTCTCTCCTACTCTCTCACTTCGATTTCCGCACCTCACTTTTTTCTTTTTTTTCTTTTTTCTTGTAATGGTGGGACCCACCCATTTTATCTCTACAACATAAGATACCTATCTTATGTTGAAGGAGAATAATAAAACCCAAAAATCAAATAACTTTTTTCTTAGCCCTTTTCATTGTAAAGAAAAAAGTTATTTGATTTCGAAACTCCGATTTTTTAATTAGAATCAGTGATCATTAATTATGTTGGTGGTTTACTTGATTTTTACCTATTTTTCCTTCATAGTTTCCTGACGCAAGTACGGTTTGAAGAGTTGTTTTTTATACACAGCACAGAAGCTTCAGCATATAATCTTTCTAATTCATCTAAAAATAAGGTTGTTTGTTGTTCTAAAATAAGGTTATGATACACACCTAAAAAATGAAAATAAATAATGTTTTTAAGATGCACCATTTAAAGTTGTTTTAAAATTCATTTACAGTTAGACGTTAATTTATAATAGAACTAGTGTTATTAATAAATTTGAAATGTAAGAAACCATCCAAGGCATCTTAATATGGCAGAGCCATCTTATTCGCATCGATGCAAGGCCGTAATCACAGGATGAACCTCCAACTCTCGTCACGTCATAGAATTTGACATTTCGAAAATGAAATGCTTTTTTTTTTTAATCATGCTTTTCTGTTTTCTCAACCAACTTTCTAAAGCTGTTTATACTTTATACTACTAAGTATGATGAGATAGGTTATATTCACAAACTATTTTGTTTACAAATTCTTACAAATTACACTATCTTCTCCCGGGAGAACACTGGTTACTTTATGTTCTCCCAGGAGAACATAGTGTAATTTGTAAAAAATTTCAAAAAAAATTTGTAAACGGATCATTTCACGAGTATTATTGGTTTTGGGTTTTGGCTTCATTTTCGCCACACTTGGTTTTTCTTTTCATGCTATTATTTTAGATAAATTGATATGGCAATAGCAAATAGTAAAGTCAATGAATAACACTTGGAGCACATTACATGACTGACAAAATTAGAAAAGTGTATGAAAAAAAAATGAGACTAATTATATTTAAATAATATAAAATTACATAAACATAATATATATGTAGCACTTTACATCACATCACATCCCATCCCATCAAAATTGCATAACTTTTATTTAATTATTTCCACTTGCGGAAAAAAGTATAATGTTGCTTTGATAAACCTGATGATGGTCTCAACTTTCAAAAGCAAATAGAGAAAGTTCATGTGTCTATAATATATATATAGAATATGGGTTTTATTTTTCTTATGTTGCATGAGACAAGTTGTCTCATGCAACACACAAAAAGTGAATGGAACCCACTAAAAAAGAAGAGAGAGAAAATAAAAAAGCGGGTCCCACCCATTTTTTGTGTGTTGCATGAGACAACTTATCTCATGCAACATAAGAAAAATAAAACCCATAGAATATTCTTGGTCGGCAATAGGGCATAGGCCATTAAATCTTTACATAGAACTGATAGAAGCTACCAAATTCTGCAATTATAGTTTCATCACGTCGAGGATGCCCACTTATTTTATGCAGAAGGAGATGCACCTAACTAAAAGGAATCATGAACTTTCTAAAACACTCACCAACGAAATGCCCAATAAAACTTGAAATTATCATCATATTTTATTCAATAGGTTATGTTGCATGGGCAAAATGTAGAACAAAAACCAGGAATGGACCTGAATCATCTAGTGATATACATTTTTTTTTTATTCCATCAATGCTATCCAAAACTTACACAAATGAATCAGGTATTGCACACTTAAAAAAGAGGTAAGGGACATTTGGTTTACCTCACTATGATTTGTGCTAACGAAACTAACCATGGGAGGTGACCATCGAAATAGTACACTGGCTTCGATCCAAACCACATGGGGCAATCTGAATCTAACCCTTTATATTACTCAACAAAAGTATCAACTAGTTATGTACATAGATAACTACAATAAATATCAGCTTTACATGCTGGCAACGATGGATGCAAGTTCTGTCTCTGCTTCATTGTCTCTGCTTGATGCATTCATGGTCTATGTGCAAAAATAAACATGATTAGGAATTACTTCAATAGAAGCAAAGAGAAAATTTATGTTGTCGCAAATTATACACACCTCTGAATCAGTTTTTTGCTTAGAAAGATAGCGATCCAATGCACCTTTACCATAAAAGATTTTGGCCCCTTGCCCCCTTCCTTCACTTCCAACAGCCTCTTCATCAACAACAACAGCATCTATAATATCTTCGCCTGTTCTGATGTCAGGAATCTGCATAAAAAATTGAACAAACTAAGGTAAATAATCTACACAATTCATGGTGCAGTTACTGCAGTACAATCCAATATGCTAAATTCCTAATAAACAATCCGCAATTGTTGCTTGTGGCTCATCTGTGTCACCCTTGTTATAACCACAAGTACAGAAAAGACAAAAAATAAGAGGTGGGGGAGGTGGGGTTCTGAAACAATCAAGTGATCATGTTTTTACGACATTAATTGATTCTGACAAGAGACATTTAAAGTACTATCATGAGCTAACCAAATGAACATTAGATAGTATAAATAAAATAAAATGGTAACTGTAATTAATGCACTGCTTCGCATATTGGCTACAGGAATATACCTATTTTGATATATCACAGTCCCACCCCAAGTAAAAAATCATGGTTAGTAGGTAGTTCAAAATTTCTCTATTCTCACTATTTTCTACATAGAAATAAATAGAGGTTAACATGCACAAGGGTGAGTGCCAAGACCCAGTGCTTAAAGGTTGTCATGTGTCATTAAGTTTTACTGTCTTTCATGTTATGCAGCCTCTCTGATCCAATAGACAACACCTGCACTCCATTGTCATACACTACAAACAAATTATTCATCTTAAGAATAAAAAAATATAGCATACCTCATACATGGCATCTACCAATACACTTTCTAATATTGACCGTAAGCCCCGAGCACCGGTATTTTTAGATATTGCTTTTCTGGCAATTGATCTTAGAGCATTTTCTTTAAAATGTAGCTTTACCTGGGAAACAAAGTACACATCAAATTATTGTAAGAACAGCCATTTCCATCCCCAGAAAGCTATGCCAATTATTACAAATATAAATGAGCAATCAATTCCCCCATTCCTTAAAACTACCATGAACAAGCAAGAAGAAGGTTTGTTTATAAATGGGACGACCCATTATGCCTTCAGATTCTGGATCAAGATGTATCAAGTCCAGTCTTGTAGCTACCCGTGCTTAAACCACTGTAAAATGCACAAGGGAATAAGATAAGGCTGGTAAAAGCTTACTCCATTCATTTGGAACATTTTCTTGTATTGCTTCCCAAGGGCATTCTTTGGTTCTCTGAGGACCTATAGAACATATTCAGAAAAGCAATGAAAGTTAAAAGCATCAGTGGCATTAGGTGTTGTGAAGTTTAAAAAGAAAGCACTTTAAAAGATATAATTAAGTAAACAACACAGTTTAACTGACTGAAGGGAAAGAAAAAAATTCAAAACAATGCCAGATCAGTCAATAATTTTGCTCATGAGAATGCCAGTCATTCTGAATTTCTCACTCACCATCTCTCATTCTATTTTGTAATCAATCAATTGATGCTTAACCCACTACATTCAGTTGTCAACACAGCCAAATTAGAAAAGCATTACAGGTACAATTTTTTTGAGTGACCAAGTTGAATGGTTACTCATGCATAGCCTACCTGAATGAGTTGATTTTCAGTTAAAGCTGACAAACTGACAAGGATAGGAAATCGCCCAACAAATTCAGGTATTAAACCATATGCAATAAGATCACTACTTTCAACCTGCCAAAAATAATAATTTTCAATGATGTAAAGATCCAACTTTAATCTAGTTGGGTTAGTTAAAGCCAGTATCCTTACAATATCTGTCATATGAAACTTACAGTTCCTAATAATGATGATGCAACAGCAGCATCCGTGACACTGCCAGTCCTCATGCTTGCACGTACAGGTGCCCCAAATCCAATAGAAGAATCTTGACGCCTGAAAGGGAATCAAAGGAGTTACTAGTTACAGAAACACTGCACACTTCATATTATTAATATCACTACCGTAAAAAATTTCAGGATTTGTGCAACCTTTCTGAGATTGTTTTCTCTAAGTCAACAAAGGCTCCTCCACAAATGAAAAGTATATTTTTTGTGTCAATCTGTGAAGAGACACAGATGGCACAACAGTTATAAATAAATTAAAAACTGCAGTTAGCTCTTTGCAATATAGAAGGAAACTAGAAATAAATTCAACCCACCCAGAGTGCACAGTTACATACACATTCTTAAATATTGAAATGTGATTGTGATGGGGTCCAGCCTATTAAAGTATATAAAAGGGATAAAAGGAGGAGGAAGTGGGCCCTAGCTCAGACATTCCATTGCAATCTATTCTAACTGACTCTAACAGAATGGGTGGCATGGGGGTGGGTTAAGCGGGGGTGGAAAAGGTGGGAACGGATATCTGGAATCTTGGCTTTTGGACTTTGGAATTGGGAGAGAGTAGAGCCTCTCTAATTTCTCTACACTAATTTTTCCAGTCTCCATTGTAATCTTTTTCATTTTTTTCGTCAATTTGATATTCCCTGCATTTTAGCTGATTTAGTTCCCTGTACTACTGATTTGTTCATTTTCCTGTACTGTTGAAGATTAAAATCGGTAATACACAACTCTGTTTCCATTTCAGTAACCCTCTGAGTTTGAGATTTGTTGATTTTGCCTCGAGACCCTATCAGATTGCACCCATGTACCAGTGCCATAAACATAACTGATAGTCCCTACAAGCATATAAATTACCATAAATTGCAAGACACAAAGATTAATGTACACATACCTGAATATTGTCACCTCTGGGATGCTTTCGGGCTCCCTTCTCAGGAACATTGACAACCTTAATTGGAAAGAATGCGACAGGATCAATATACAATGAATTACTAAAAATACAGAAATAAAAAATAACCAGGTGCTTTAACAATCTTTGACTCTGCTGTTCCAACATCATGTTAGCAGCAGTTTAAAAAAACTATAGATCAACTTGCTTTTAGTGTTGGTCATTATGAAAAGAACTAACCGTTCCCTCGAGCATCTTCAGTAATGCCTGCTGAACACCTTCACCAGAGACATCCCTACTGATATTAAGGCTCTCAGCCTGAAATGTAAAGAGTAGATGTAGAAAACAGCGGACAAATATATGGTTTTGAAATTTGTAGGAAGGGAAAAAAAGACATAACAAGGGGGAACCTTTTTGGTAATCTTGTCAACTTCATCAATGTAAACAATGCCTTGCTGGGCAGCTGCTACATTATAATCTGCAACCTAGAAATAAACTTACGCAATGTTGATTCAGACTACAATTTGTGATGCTATGTTAATCTATGTTTCTTTCATCAATCTGCAGCTAGTCCCTTGATTTCATGAAAGAAACACTAATATTTTTAAAAATTAATAGACCATGGACAAAACCATATTTCAATTAAAAACTGAAGGGAGTTGATAGAATAAAATAATTCCAAAATAGCAGAAAATTTTGCAATAGCACGCATAAGTACAAGTCAGCACTCAGTGCTATGTTCAAATCATAAAAGAATAAGAATTGAAACCTTATGTTCTTTTGAATCACACATTAACTTTAAACCCGATTTATGTTCCACATATAAGTAGATCTGAAATCCACTTCTCATGGATAAGGCTTTAAAACATTAAAGAGCAAGGAAATATTCTTCCAATTTTTCTTATAAATTTTTTGTTCAAATTATCAACATCAACATCACTTTTATCTCTAGCTAGTTGGGGTCTGCATTCAATGAACCCAGATAAAAGCAAAAACAGATTGAGAGAAAAGAAAATATTCCCAAATTATAATGGTGTATAAAAACAACTAGTCATCGCACATTAGAGTATTTACCACAAGGAGCTTGTATAATATGGACTCCACGTCTTCTCCAACATAACCCGCCTGCACAAAGGTGAAATTGGGTTTAGACTGGTAACAGAAACATGTAGCTTCCAATAAATAAAAATTAGGAAATGTTTTTAAAAAATGCAATAACATATGGAAAATGCATGTCATCTAATCATGGGAGGAAAGGAAAGGAAAGGATTCCCAAAGTACCTTCAGGGCTTTTTCGAATTTGATAAGAGAAAATGTTTATGATATATATCTCAATTTCTTTGTGTTTAGAATATGCAAAAATTGTTTATACACCTTTTGAGCACATAAGATCACAGGATGGCATCAATATGTGCATTGTTCTTTATGGCTGAAAATTTACAACCTATAGGGTGCATTAACAAGTCTTTCTAAAGAAGAAACCTCCAGATATAAACAAATAATTATTTCCTTCCAATTAGAAAATAATATAAACTATTAAAAAGACCCTCACCCAACACCTTAAGATTTTGGGTTGAATTAGTTTTTTACATGGTATCAGAGCTTTAGTGACCATGAAGTGACAAGTTCGATCCTCACCACCCCCACTTTCTAGTGAAATTAAATAAGCACAAGGTAAACCAAAAATTGGGTCAGTGCAATATCTACACTTCAAGCCCAAAGGGCTCTTGCGTGAGGAGAGGGTGTGTTAGAGAATAATATAAATTATTAAAAAAGTCCTCACCCAACATCTTAAAGTTTTGGGTTGAATTGGTTCTTTACATTTCCCCACTCCCCTCTTTTCTTTTCTTTTTCTTTTTTAATCAGAAGACAAGAATAAAGCCCACTAACTTGCCTGAGTGAGTGTAGTTGCATCTGCAATAACAAAGGGAACATTTACAAACCGAGCCAAGGTTTTGGCAAGTAATGTCTTCCCTGTCCTTGAAAAAGCATCAAAGAGAAAATAGTTAGACAAGTAACAAGGCATTAATGTTTTTCAAAGAGATGAAGATGGAAATAGAAAAGGTCTCAAACTCTGTTGTCTCCCCCATTTATTTAATTTAAAGACAAGATTTCACTGTAGAAATTATAATCAAAGGATCCAGCACAAAATTTGAACATATTAGTGCAACTGAATGAACTAAATCGCTAAGAGTCATCTTAGCTCACTCGAACACTTTGTACTTCCAACATCCAAAGCATGATATACATTAACATTCTATAACACCATGAAAAACGATAATATACAGAATTAAAATAATATAAACACTCCAACAGAAGGAAAAGGCAAAAACTAGTTTACCTGATCCTGTTGGTCCCATTAGAAGGATATTGCTTTTCTCAAGTTCAACTCTATCATCATCAACAGCATCAGCTTTACCATTATTACTTGAATCTCCTGCGGGCCTAACATTCCAAATAGTAAGAACAAGTAAAAAGTAGTATCTACATACAATTAACAGAAACAATGATAATTACTTTACAATTTACACTAGCACCAAAAAAAGAACTGAAAAAAAAAATTACAGTAAAGAAATGACAACAAGCTGAAGTAATATACTAACCACTTGGATGAAGATTCATGAAATATTCTCTTATAGTGATTATAAACTGCCACAGAAAGCACCTGCAGATACAATTGAGGGTGGCACAAATGAGACCTTCATTGAAAATCATTGAAAAAGAAGGGGCAAAAAAGAAAAAAAGTGACACCTTCTTGGCCCTCTCTTGTCCAATTACGAATTTGTCAAGCCCCTTGCAAATTTCCTTCGGAGTTGGGAAATTACTCCCCAAATTGGACCCACCCCAGCACCCATCCTTCGAATTCGACGACCCCGAATCACCGGAATTCGCGGCACCTCCGCCGCCGCCACCACCGGTGGAATCCAAATTGGAATTCCCCGACCGAACAACAATCCCGCCGCCAGACCACACTTCTGGCGGGTCCCCGACGGAGCCAACAACGTTGTACCTCCTGCTATTATCAGCGAAATGGGTACCCTTTGGAGCGAAATCGCCGCGGAGAGAGAGGGGTTTGAAGGAGGTGAAGTGGTAGAGGGTGTTGATGAACTTGGTCCGTGGAGTGAACGTGCCACCCGCGTGCAAGTGGTTGAAAACCATGTACCTGAAGTGGGAAAGTGCGAGGGTCGCCGTTTCTTTGTAACTGTTATGCTTGGATCGAAACGCAGCTGCAGCCATGGGAGAAAGTTGATTGTTGTTATTGGGTCAGAAGATTAAATTGAAAAGTTAGGATTTTTGGGTTGAAGATAGAGAATCAGTGATGGTCTTGGTCATGGGGTAGTGTTTGTAAATTGTAAGAACTAAGAAGAGAGGAGAAAATATTTGTCGAACTATAACATGTGGGTGAATCGAGAGAGAGAGAGAGAGAGAGTTAGTTCAATCTCTCTCTTACTTTGCTTTGCTTTGCTTGTGGAGTTGAAAGAGAATTGAGATCGCGGTTAAATCTTTCCTTATTCCTTTATTCTTTTTTCATGTTTCTATTTGATTATTGTTATTTCGAAAAGGTTATATTTATTGGGTTTTTTCTTTTGATATTTTAACTGACATAAGTTATATCATTTTAAAAGAGATAGACGTTACTTAAAAAAAAAAAAAAGAGATAGACGTAAGAAATGAAAATTATGAGAAAGAAAATGAGTGATTTTTTTAATTTAAATTTTAAATAAAAAATATTTTCTTATGTCTATCTCTTTCTTAAAATGAGATAATTTTATGTCATTTTAAATTACAAACACTTTTTTCAAATTTATAATTTTTTATCTATTATACTATGTCTAACCGATAATATATTTTTAAAAGTGTATTATTAGTCAGATATAATATAATTTGTAAATTCGTAAATAAAAGTTTGTTAATATAATTCTACTCTTATTATTATTGTAAATAAAAAGCGAAAAATATTTTTTGTTTTGTTGTAAAAGTTTTTTTCAGACACACTTGTATTAAAGTGGTAATCTTGGACCTGTCTCAAATTTTAAATCAGTTCATAAAAAACCCATCGAATTACTAGGAATAATTTCCAAAAAAAAAAGAGACAGTGAATTTCGTTATAAAAAGGAAAGAAAAATTCTTTTTATAAAACTTATTCATTTTTATATGAATATCCCAAAAAACAAAATTCAATAAAAACCTTAAACCCAAATAAAAACGCCACGGCACTCTACCTAACCGCCTCAAAAAATTTGTTTTCACTTTAACCCACGAAACTACGTTAAGAAAGGTTAATTATTATTATTTTTCTCTAAAAAGGTGAGTTTAATGGTATTTTGAGTTATTTAAAATAATTTCAAATGTACATACTTAAAAAAACTCAAATCTTTAAAATGAGTCAACTGATAACTTTTCTAATTATTTAAAATTTTAAATATATTAATTGTTTCCACTTTTCATTACATTTTTTATTTTCAATTATTTGATGGAATTTAGATTAATTTTTTAAATGAATTTATCATTACTTGATTTATTTATTTTTTCTTATAAATTTAAATATCTATCTAATTATTGAAGAAAAAACAACTAAAAAAAGAAGGGTTCTATAACAGTATATCTCTCAAAAGTATTAAACTCATAGAGTAAAGAAATTATAAATTAAATGTTTTTTGTGTTTTCAATATATAAATATATGATACGTTTGGTCACTTCATTCAATATAAGTAATAAAAAAATTACGATGAGTTTTTCTAGAATAATTTTGCTTTACACGGTGTTCTTTTTGTCTTTTCTTTATTCTTTAGGTGATTATGAGAATTATTAGACTAACGCTTTAGATGAAGAGTCATATGTGGAATCGTATAAAATTAAAAAAACTCAATTCGAGTTCATTAAGTAGTATAAGTCCAAGTTGGAAGCTGCGAGGAAAAAAATAAACTTGGGGTGAATTTTTTTTATTTTTTTTTGGTTTAATGAATTTTTATATAAAAAAACAAAGGCCAATCAAAACATAAAAATAATGTTTGATTCGATTCAGTACAAATCTTCATACTTAAGCATTTTATTTTTATTTTTATTTTTTATTTTTCAAATTTCTTTTAACTAAGATGATTCAGTTCGGTACCGAAATGAATATAATGAGTTATCAAAAAGATCACTTTTCTTAAAATAAGTATGTATTAAATTAGAATCGATCTGAGAGGTTCAAGTCAAAAATTTTGTTTCCAATTTGTACACTTTGGTTTATAAGTTCGAAGGAGTGAATTATTTTGTCGCCACTCTCCTAGCAGGTGCAATGTAACCTCTATTCCTCTGGTCTAATGACCAATGCTATTGTACTAAAAAAAAAAATGACCAATGCTAACATCAACTGAACCAAACATGCGAATGAAAAATATATCCAACCTAGTCACAAATTGATGAATTTTGAGTTTATCTTTATAAATTTATACTCTCTCTCTCTCTGTTTGGTAAATTAAACTCATCCATTTTTATCAAATCAATGTTATTCTGTCTAACATTCTCTTGAAGTTTTTTTTTTTTCTTTTCCACTTTAAATGATTCAGACATCATTAAACTAAACAATCCACTGACTCCTACGTGAAACAGAGTGGGGGCGTTGGGTGTCCTCCAGAAAATGTAGAAAAAAAAAATGGCATTTTCTATGAATGAAAAACTAAAACTAAAAAGAGGGGGGGGGGGAAATGCTTAACATAGATGTACAACATTCACAGCCTCCAATCACACTCAATACAGAAGAGTATAATGGACTAATTGATATACAAAGAACCAAGAAAATGGTTGTTCTAACCTGTACGTCTTGTCTTGAAGGGTAATCAAATCTGATACTAGTGTCTTAAAGGCTAATCTGATATTTCTTCACAGCAGAAATTGAATAAAAATGAAGCGTTAACTGAAGAATGGCCTCTAGCTTCAACAACAAAAAAAAAAAAAAAAAAAAACAATGTGCTTGTTTTCTATCCAAAATTTATGAGAAGATTCTCCTTCCAGAGCCAGATTATAAATTGGATAGGAGCTACAAGCTCATGTACAAAAACAAGTTGCTAGTCACAGGCTCTCTTCTTCATACCTTGCTGCCAGCCTTAATTTCATCATCTAGATGTGAATCTGTTAGGAGCGGTCTGAACCTGAGAGTGACATTAGATTAAAGAAACATATCAAAATGGTAAGTTATATCACAATTCAAGACTACAATTTAAAGCCATCTTACTTGAAAGCTCCCATCAATTGAAACAACTATGTCAACCGGATATTTTTGGAAAACGTCAACCAGATATTTGCATGAGCTTGCAAGTAGATAATGTAATATAAGCATGCATCAGTAAGTTACTGTTTTGTTGATTAATCCATAGTCAAAACCCATTGGAGTTTGATAGTACTTTAAAATATCCGAAAAATAAACCTACCTTAGATAGAAAGGATCTTTAATGCACTTAATATAATAAATTTCTAAAACATTTAGTAGAAGTAGAAGTAATTTACACAGTTTTAATTTTTACACAACCAAAACAACTTGGAAAGATTAAAACAAAAAATGAATAAATAAAACAACATTCCACACCTTCAAACCACATTCAAGGTTTTATAAATCACATAGATCTAAAATTTCAATTTCCAGACAGATTACCTCAGTTGCATAGGATGAACTTTGTGCCAAAAACTTAACAAACTCATTCCTCTTTTTATTGAAATTGAACTTTGCCATGTCCAACAACGTCCGTTCCCTTTTTAATTCCTCCAGAATCTTTTCCTTCTTCCATGTCATTTCCTTCAATTGTGTCTCAATTTCAATGTTGTTATCAAGCCCCATTGATTTTTCTGGTGTGGGGAATCTCACATGTACATCTTCCCTGCACACCCCAACACCCCACCCACCAAACAAACACACACAAAAAGAGAGAGAGAAGGGAAGATATAATTAGTATGACAGTTAATAGGTCACTGGTTTCTAGACAGTAGAGACCAATACAGGTTTTATTTAAATTCAATTATTTGATGATTGCATTCTTCTGGAAACAAATTACAACAAATAGCATTCTGATGTTTCTAAAATGAAGCTTACTTTTTAACAAGCATTTTTAAACAGATCTGAAAAATATAAAATCAGTTCTTCAACAATAAAAACAGAGAATATATCAACTCGAGCCTATATAACCTTAACTTTACAAGGTTCAATGAGTATATATTGAGGTTCCATTTTGTGTGACAACATAATTCATATCATATCATATGGGTTTCTATATAAATCCTTGTCATGGTCCTCATGGATAGCATTATTCTTGTAAATTACAGTTAATCCAGCTGAATCACATCTTAGAAATTGAAGAAGAAATTTCCATGGGATACAATTTCAAGAAAGATTATTCTCCATTAGCTTTTTTTTAATAATGGAGAACACCAAAGTTATTTACATTCCCAATACAGCACAATGTAAGGTTTCAACCTGTCATATAAAGATACTAAAAAAAGAGATTAGACATAATGTAGATACTAAAAAAAAAAGATTACACATAATGTATAACTAAATAAATATGCCATTCATACACTTACCTATTACCCAAGGAAAATACACCACAACTCCTAACCATTCCTCCATCTAAAGAAAGAGCTCCATCACTTATGCAAGGAAGTGCTTGTAGCATTTCAGCCCTTGTCTTATATACTTGAAGGCGAGAAAAGAGATTATAAAACAGAGTTTCTCTGAGGCCATAACCACTGGGAGTTACACAAAATAGGTTTGAGCTGTCTACACTAATCATATTTACAGCAAAGCCAAGAAATCCAGCTGGACACTCCCCATTGGGTAATCTTGGGTTTAAAATGTCCAACTTCCGCTGTGGATCATCAACCACATATTTACCAGCATAAGGCCTAAAACAAAAGAGAGAGAAAAAAAGTTCAATAAACACTAATTTATCCACAACAACAAATGAAAAACAAAAGACTCTTGAAGTCATGCCTCAGAGATTCAAGACATATCGCTAGAAATCGACCATCCAAAGCCCTTCCAATAGAGGCACCTAGCCCGTGAAGACCGCAGCTTTTATTTATGCAGCCTTCCGTATCATACATTTCAATAGCTTTAACTCCTTCATAAGTTCTACAAACAATTGCCAGCATAGTCTCCACTCCTATATACTCTGAGAAAAGTCTGTATTTCAAATAAGTATAGTGAAACTACCTGCTTGTGTGCTTAATCATATTCATAGATATTAGCAAGAGAGTAGCAATACAGAGAAATATATTATTTTTCATCCTGTTTAAAGATAACACCACTGAGACTGAAGAAACAAGAGAAGGTTTTACAAGGTTGATATAAGGGCATGATTTCACAAGCCAAAAAGTAAATATTTATGCCAAATGTACCTGCTAAGATTGTCATCCTCTATTTTGCCCAGCATAGCAACAATACCCACAACATCCTTTGTCGGTGTAAGATGAGAAACCTGAGCTCCATGACGAGTCTTCAGCTGGCACAAAATACCAGCAGCAGATTTTTCATGCTGCAATATCTGTTTATTTACCTCTTCATCGGTTGTAGGGTTGGGATTGTCCACATTACCAATCTTGGTTGTACTTGAAGACTCTGATTTCCCAATAGTAACTATGAATAGGAAAAGAAAAACATAAATGACACCCAATCTTCGCAAGTAGATAATATTACATAATAGGGAATAAAAGATCATTTACACAGAAAAGAAACAAAATTTAACAATTAGAAAGTTTACCGCATCTTAATAGAAAATGACTACACTTGATGTATGCACTTCAACTTTCAGTCAAAACATACTGTAAGTTGTAATATCAACAATGCTCCAAAAAATTTAAAACCAAAATACTTATGTTTAAATAAATAGATAAAACAAGTTTAACATTCAGAACCTCTGATGACCAACAACTATATCATTGGCAATTTACTTTTTGTCAATGGAATAACTACCTTACAATTGCACACAACAATATAAAAGCTTGCAGCATTGATTCAGTTAATGCACCTTACATAACAAGGACCATGAATATTTTCATGATAAGTAGCATCTTATCCACTTGCCAAACAAAGATAGAAAATTCCTTAAAAAGTACAAACAAATGTACCTTGCAAATTACGAATTGAGTCTTCCAATTTGTTTCTTTCAGTGTTCAAAAGACTTATGCTGTCCTCATGCTGCTTAATTTTTATCCCTGACTTACGCAGATCATCTTGCAGTTTCTGCAAGAATTACATTGGTACAAAGTAAGTTTGTATAAATTATCATCACTCAATTAAAATACAGACCTAACAGAACAATATGTCTTCCATACACACACATATATATAAGCTACAATTAGTAGAGGAAAAGAGTCATCCTTTTCGGATTTTAAAAACAACATAAAATATAAGGTACTTGGGAATGTCGGAAGAAGTAGTCTGCCTGTTGATATCCTCCAGTTTGCACATTGTCCGGTGTACCAACAGGGTCTTCATTCAAATTCACCGGCACCAATGCTGAAGACCCTTGGATGGATGGTGCCTCTGTATGAACTGACTGCTTGCAAATATAGAACTTATTCACATATAAAAATACAGATAATACTTGCACACATGAAAATAGCATCAATAAATACTACTTCAGCAGGTAGACGGTCCACAATGACATAGAATTAGGCTATTGATGTGTGTGTCTATAATTGCCTTCTTTCATTAGATATAGAAGTACAGAGAAATATAAGTGATGTTCACTAAGTGACAACGACTTTCAAATAAATGTAGGGAAGTTAACATAAAAGTTTTTATTCGGCATTTTTTATTTTATTTTTAAAAAAAATGTACTTGCGTCATGAAAAACAGACATGCACAATGATCATAACTCGTGAAAACCATGTTGAGTTTCAAAGAAAGCTGAAAGGGAGAAAAATAAACTTCCAACACTTCAAGGTTAGCAGGGGAAGGGGAAAAGAAAATGAAAAAGAAGCCATCAAATGATCAAATTATATAAATATGGAAAAAAATATTTCTCTCCAGCGTTCACATAAAAGTGAGTGGGTTCTATTAACTTTTTCTATCTCTTCTATTCACAGAGGGAAATGTTAAACCCTATAAATATATGTATGTGAAAAATAAAATGCAGGTTGCTTGCGTAAAGGGACTTTCATTTTTTCTTGTTTTGCCACTACACGCGAAGAATAGTTATAGACCCTAAAATTAAGTTGCAAGAAAGTAATTTAAATCGCCATTGCAAAACAAAATTCTCCAATTGAATGTTTTTCTAAGCCCTTCCAAAGGCCTCAATGTTGAAAACATGAGTTTCTCTTTGGGTAACCCAGAATGTTTATGAAAAGGAAATTCACAATTAACTACAAAGAAGACTACAGACACTGAGACAGTGGTTTCTTTTTCTTTTCTTTTTTTTTTGTCGGAGGAACCAAACAAGAGAAAGAAAAGGAGGAAAATGTAGAGAGAGAGAGAGAGAGAGAGAGAGAGAAACAGACCTGGTTGGTGATGGGTGATGGAAACATGATTCGGTGAGTAAGAGAGCTCTGAGTCCGCGCAATGTCAAGTTTCAGAAACGAATGGGGGCGAAGAGAATGTATTCTCTTCCTTTCTCTCTCTTACTCTCCACTTCCTCTAATTGTAATTTTAAGGATATTGCGTCAACATTCAAATTATTACTTTAAATAATATATATAATTTTTTTTTATTTAATTCACCAGTGACGTAAATATATTTTATGCATAAAAATTGTTTAAAATAACATGCTGACGTTCTGAGAATATTAAAATTTTAACAAAAAATAAAACTCTTATATTATATGAGAAAATTTTATAATAATTTCTTATTTTAATAATATTTTGATATTATAATATTTTATTAATTTGCTATATTAAAGGTTATGTTTGCAACCTATTTTCGTTTACAACTTCTTACACTCATATCTTAACCGTTGATTTTCGTCAATCAACGGTTAAGATTTTCGCAAATCAAATTTATTAATTAATTATTAATTCATAATAAATGACAACCGTTAATTGCGAAAATCAACGGTTACGATATAATTTTTTTTGGAGGTTACAAGGAATTGAACACAACACCCTACACTACACACACTCCTAACACACACACCCCACACCACTAGGCTAACCCTAGTGGTACGGTTCCGATATAATTGTAAGAATTTGTAAATTATTTGAGTTGTAAATATAACTCCTCCCTACTATTATTACTTGACAATAATATTGTTAAAATATTATAATGTATCAGTATAATTAGTTCGTAAGAAAATAAACCATTTTATGTAAAATTTCACATGATTGTGAAATTTTTGTTTTATTTCTTTTTTCATTAATAATAACTAGACACTACCTATTTTATATATGGGGCAAAATATTCATGAGTATCAATGTAAATAGATTAGGCTGAACTGAGCTAGATTTTAAATGAAATAAGTAAATTAGTCCAATCTAATTTATTAACTTAAAATAGCCTAAATTATAAATCTTTTATTTTTTTAATAAAATATTTAATCTAGGCACATTAGTCTATCAAACCTTCTTGGTCTATGGTCTAGTTTTAGAAAATATATAATAAGTTATATCCGCCTCGATATAAGTTAGGTCATAATTCTCAATAGACTCCTTTTAACTTATTTACATCCTTATTCATGAATGGCATATTCATATTATTTTATAAAAGAAGGTTTAAAAATGTTAATATTAATTATCATAGCTATTAAAACTTTTAAATTTATCAAAATATTATTTTGAGATAAACATTTTTTTCTTTTAAAAAGGTTGACACATTTGTGACACAAATCTGCAAGATTTTATTTGATCGAATCTGATGGAGATTTATCTCATCGTCCCTTTAAAGATTGTGTGGAAAAAAACTTTGGCTAAATGTGCTTTGAAGGACATGTTTGGTTCGACGTATAAGGTCTAATAGTATAAGCTTATATTATATGTTATGACATTTTCAGTTGTTTGGTGTGACCATCATATAGTATAAGCTTAATACATCAAAACGATGTATAACTTAATCCGGCATAAGGGGAAGGGGTTAGGCCTGATAAGGGATTAGTGTATTAACATCGTTGACCAGTGCAATTCTCCAAAATTAATATATTATTTTAATATTAATATATTAAAATAAATTAATTTTTCAATATTATAAATTTTAAAATATTGAATATTTTATTTTTATAAAAATTAATTTATTTTCTGGACACACTAATCAATAGATTTTTATAAAAATTAATATCATATGATATTTTTTGAAGAATTATATAAATTCTTTATTAAAAGATATTTTTATTAAAAATATTTATTTTTATCTTATATAGTATTATACAGTGCATTACCAAATACTAGATGATATTATCTTATACAATATATTATTTTATACAATATCGTGCCAAACACTAGATAGTATTAAAATTCAATCAGGCCTTATACTATCAGGCCTTATCTATACTATGCACCAAACATGCCCGAATAGTCTCCTTTTATGGAAGCAACACATGTAGAACCAGTGGCGGACGCAGGAATTTTATTGAGAGGGGACGAAAAATAAAAATCCATCTTCATAAATAAAAGTACTTCAAATACAATATAGACTTAATATGCAAAAAATTGAAAGAAATCTATTACAGAAATTAAGATCACTTCACTTGACTCTTACTCTACGTGTTTTCATATTGTTAAACCATCTACAATAAAAACAGATCCAGAAAATGTTTAAATAAATTATAGATAAATAAATTAATTAAAAAAATGTATGCTGAAATGCATTGTACCTAAACGATGCTTGGACAAGCTTTGAATCCAGTAAAATTATTCAAATATAATCATCAAGATATATTGTAGAACAATACTCCAACAAGCTAACCAACATTGAAAAGTAAACACTTCTAGATCTCAGAGTCTAAAAAAATAAGAAAATACAGACTAAAAAAGTACACTAACAGATCAGTAAATGAAGCATTTGAAAATTTGAAATATTACAAGTCCCCAATAAATATGTTGTTATGCTCTATTGTATTTCACCTTGACTTTTGATTTTTTTTTTTAATTTATTGGTTCATCCATGTTTTGATTTTTTTTTAAATTTATTTGTCCAACATAATTTATTATTTCAGTTTGAAAAGTAATCCTTAATGAAACATTAAAGCATTAAAAAACATTAACGCTCCAAATGTCATTATAAAAAAATGTTAATTAATGAGAGATAATGAGTCAAAATAAAACATTCAAAACATGGGGATGATATAAACGAATTTCAAAACAAAACAATCGAATAATAGCAGCATAGAGATAGTGAAAGACCTAAGCTGAGAAGATTTGTTAAAATTGAAGAAGAGAGGGTTTTTTTCCATGGAGATGCAGATGGGGCCATGATTGAGTGTAGTGTGATATCTTATAGTGTCATGGAAAATAATTTTATATTATATAATTTTTAAAACAAATAATTTAATAATATTACTAAAATTTTATTTTATATATATATATTATTAAAAAAGTTTCTTTAAATTTTGGGGAGCGGTGACCCATCATAACCCCTAAATCCGCCTCAATGTAGAACTCTCTTTGTAAAGTAATGTATAAGGGATGAAAAATTTCACAAAGCATGTTGACTTGTAATTTTGCAATTCTCTCTCTTTATTCTTTTACCCAAGAAAGGAATATCTACTTTATGTATATTTCCCTGCTACCCTTATTAACTAAACTTTAATTGAATTTCAGGTTTAAATAGGAGTGGCAAAAGTTGCAGGTTGAGATGGGTAAATTATTTGAGGCCTGACCTCAATCAACCCCAATAGAGGAAGGAGTCATTATTGAATTGCATGCTGTTCTTGGTAACAAGTAATAGAAACCTTCACCCTTCTCTCTTTCTATAAGTCTATAATATGGGAAAGGTTATAGTTACTACCTCTTATTGTTACTACTAAATCGTAACTGTTGATTTCTGTCAATCTAACGGTTATAATATATTAGAAATTAATAATTAATTAATAAGTATGACCCAATACATTATAACTGTTAGATTGATGGAAATCAACGGTTATAATTTAGTAGTAACAAGTAGTAACAATAAAAGGTAGTAATTATAACCTCTCCCATGTAATATATGTGTGTTTTGCTATGCAGCTAGTTCATCGAGTCCATCTTATTATTTTCTTTGTTTTTGGTTCGGTGGAATCCATCTTATTGGCTTCCCATGTTTGATGTGAAATTGTTGTTGCCCTAATAAGATTATTTGACTTACATATTCTTTCACTTGTTTGTCTTCGTTGACTCTTGAGAGCATATATAAAGTTTAGAATAGAAAACTTTCTAGCTGTAAGTCCATGCACCATATTTTTTAATATACTAGGAAAAATTGCATGTAAATTTAAAGTAACCTAATGGATGGGAAAACTATAAATGTAGAGATCACTGTATACTTCGCCAAACACAAATGATATATTTTATTTTGGGGTAGCGAAAATAAATGAATTTTATTCATTGATAAAATACCGAACACAAAGATGGGAACCGAAAAATAATGTACCTCACTTATAATTTAATCTTTGATTAAAATTATGTGTACGATTTATTATCAAATTATTTAAACTCGTCATATTAATTCTTACTAGCTATGGAAAAAGGAATAACGTCAAACAATTTTAGCTGATACAAGAACTAAATCATCATGCAGTTAATTTAATAAAGGATTAAATTGTCTTAATTAAGATTATATTGCGAGTGACCCACTCTTTTGAGTGATTTCATATTTGCCTCTGAACATATCAATGAATATTAATAGAATAAAGATGAAGATTTTTATATAGATTAGTTGTTGAATTCTCTAAATTCTCGTCTCGCATATAATGAGTATAAGACGAAAAAAAGATATGAAATCACTTGAACGCTCAACTTCAGAAAAAGAAAGGGCTTTCCAAAACTCTCCTAGTAAAGAAGTTTTTTGAATTTAAATTTAATATTGTTAGGATATTCAAGTGTGATGAGTCCCACATTGGTTGGTGATGGGCTAAGTGAAGAGTGTACATGTGGAAGGACCCATGAACCCAATGCCTTAAGGTTTTGGGTTGAGACATGGTGTCGGATCCACTTGCTACGGTTGGTGTAGCCTTAGCTCATTGGTGGTGGCTCCCCGCCACGGGCTTCCCCTGGACTCGCCTGACATTGGTATCAGAGCCGGGTTGGGCTCGACCTAGCCATGTGATTGGCTAGGAGGCGAGTCGAGTACTTTGCGCTTCGGGTACTCGGTTGAGGGAGAGCATACCAATGGTGGGTTCCCACTTGAGGGGGAGATTGTTAGGATATTCAAGTGTGATGAGTCCTACATTGGTTGGTGATGGACTAAGTGAAGAGTATATATGTGGAAGGACCCATGAACCCAATGCCTTAAGGTTTTGGGTTGAGACATGGTGTCGGATCCACTTGCTACGGTTGGTGTAGCCTTAGCTCATTGGTGGTGGCCCCCGCCACGGGCTTCCCCTGGACTCGCCTGACATTATTTATAACATGGCAAGCTGTTATAAAATTAACATGCAGAAATTAAAAGATTGGGAAGAAAGAAGAGTGAGACACGCAAGATTTACTTGTTCAGAAACTTGTGTTACCA